TCACTTTTCGTCTTTTACCTCACTTTATCTTTTGTTTAGATGGAAATATCAGAAAATCTACTTTTTACAGCTCATTGTTTTCAGCTACTTGCAACAGTATTCGATACACCATTTAAGTGCATATGCCGATGTGCTTTAAAGGCTTATTTTGAGGGTCAGTGCTTTTTATGGAGGTACCAAACCCCAAATTAAATAGGTTCAACATAATAAGCTTATTGTTTGCCTTGCATAATGTTAACTGAAGCAAGAAATTAACCAATTAACCATGTCTCTGCTAGGAGCAAAAATTGGTAATCTACATTGAAAATTATGGTGGCTAATAGACATTTGTTTTTTAATCTGGTGCCTAACTCTTTAAATCCTAAATTAATATTGAGCCATACTATAAAGTACTCAGTAACTCTATTTGTTTTAATAAATTACGTATATGACAAAATAAAAGTAAGCAGTACAGTAAAAACATTGACACTATCCTATTTTAAAATTGACCCACTGTTCACGGATGTCATGCATAGTCTTTGCATGACATCCGTATATATACATTTGGCCGACTTGCTCTGTCATGCTTTAATGAGGGTGTCTGTCAGTCATTGAACTGTGCAGAATGGTTGATGTAGATCATTGAGACCAGCAGACCAATGGCATAGCTCCTAGACCCTGATGCTGAACAGAAAGTGCTTCTGGGAAGAGTCTACTGCTCAACTGTTGAACATTAAATTGTTCAATTTTAAAAAAAGAATATTGCACTTTTTTGCATGACTGTTTACATGACTTTTACTTTGTTTTATATAAGCAATTTACTTTGAAAAAAAAATAATTACTAGTGTTCCTTTAAGGATTGATTCATTATAAGTCATTAACATTGTATACATTTTATGGCCACCATTGCCCTGTTAAATTAAAAGGTCTGGTTGCTGGAAACCATATGCTTATGATGGGTAGTATCAAATGATGATATTGGTTATCTCTTGACTCGAGTTGTACAATTTTAAATCATCTGTCTTTTTTTTTTTTTTATAACCAATCCTGAATAAAGTTGTTTTTAAAAAAAGTCTTTATTTTTATATATATATATTTATTTTTTTAAACCATTAAGCCTACTGATCTGAGATATTGTTAAACTAAATAGATTGCTTCACTAAACGGTAAATGGTGGAGAACTGAAAACCCCATTGCTGCTACATTTGCAATTCAGGTCTTCAATACACTACTTTTCTGTGTTTAGTGCATAACATCTAGTGTATGTATCCAAAGTACAAACAACCTTCACCACAAAACTATATTGTATGGGGGATTATGAAAAAGTAATGAAGCAATACTTCTCTAAAAAACAGTTTCCCTTAGATTACTTCCCAGGTAGTAATCCCTTGAATATATATGAAAAAAAAATATATGTATATTACAAAGAGTGAGAGTGGGATACAGCTGTAAACATCTAGAAACAAAAAGATAGAAAATAGAGCGTAATACAGTATATAAATTATTTGTGCTGTGATGTAATACTCACAGGAGTATAGTAGATCTGTGCTCCAAAGGTACCTCCCCCAATAGATATATTTCCAAAGTGTAGTTTATTTTCCATCTCTGTGGGAGACTTCCCTACAGAAGGTGGTCTGGGTCTTGCTGGAAGACCTACTTAAAGATAGCTTGAATAGGATTCTAGGGTTTTAACTGTAGCAACTATAATGTTAGGAATGTCCTACTTTCTCTATCGTAAGTGGTCAAACTGTTCTACAAGCGTTTGACTTCTCCATCTCTTATGATGGGAGGCTCCTGTTGGCTCTTCTGAGCAAAGCACTGCAGAGCAGGGCTACCGTATTAGGTGAAGGTGTTGACCACGTACAATGAGTAAAGCCCTGCACAGCTAGGCTTAGCTCAGAGCTTCTGGTGGAAAATATTTGACATGGGGAGGTTAAAAAAAAAAAATATATATAAAAAAATCCTTCAGACTTTGTAAATACATGGGTAAAGTTTTGGGAAAAAACAAAACCATACGACCACAAACCCAGACATGCTCTGGGATAGATACATTTGTCCTTGCACAGGGCACATTTATCTTGTCAAAACTTTTATTATGAAAAGAGATACAAACAATTTTTATTTTTTTTTAAGTTTATTGACCTTATTAAAGGGACACTATCGTCACCTGAGCAACTTTAGCTTAAGGAAGCAGTTTTGGTGTATAGAACATACCCCTGCAGCCTCACTGCTCAATCCTCTGCCATTTGGGAGTTAAATCCCTTTGTTTATGAACCCTAAACACACCCTAAAGTTCAATTTAGAGATTGAGATACAATTATTTAAGGTAAATTACATCTGTTTGAAAGTGAAACCATTTTTTTTTCATGCAGGCTCTGTCAATCATAGCCAGGGGAGGTGTGGCTAGGGCTGCATAAACAGAAACAAAGTGATTTAACTCCTAAATGACAGTGAAATTGCAGGGGAATGATCTATACATTAAAACTGCTTTATTTAGCTAAAGTAATTTAGATGACTATAGTGTTCCTTTAATAGATGGTACTGTCACCTAGAATGTATTATTCATTTAAATTAGTCAAACGAATAAACCACTATAGCAAAGCTCTAATATCATTTAAAATGAAATGGTGATTAAAGGACCTATTTAAGATCCTTAGACATCACAATAAAGTGAATAATTTTAATCACTACTTTTTAGTGCTGTGAAGGTGAGAATAAAATCTTGTAGTATGTGGCATTTACAGATGAATAACCGTGATTGTCAAAATACTATTGCCATTACACTGTGCTGTGGTAGTTATAGTGATTGGAGTTCCCCTTTAAATTATATCAACATAAAGCAGTTTTGTGTATAATTACTGGGATATGCCATCAGGTAGGACTAAGGAAAACTGTGCGTGTACATGCAATGCTCTGTATTTAAAAAAAAATAAAAAAAAAAAATTGGGTCAACACTCTGCATGAAGTGCTGCGTTTTACTGGACCATGATGTCTGTGTGTATGGATGCAGGGATGTATTTTTCTCAAGTGTCTGTTTGCAGGATTGTTTTTGTGTGGAGGGTCCACATAACACAAGTCCACTTTCCACTTCCTAATAGTTGCCTATTCTCCTCCCTACTCCGTACCTGTAGCCTACTCCCTCCCTTGCTCAGTAGCGGTAGCAATTTCTTTCCCTCTCCTGCTTAGTAACAGTAATCAATTTGCTCCTTTGCCCAACACTTTTTCGGGGGGTATAGCAGGATGCCTCGACATCGAGGTATCGCTGCAATACTCTTAGAGCGGCTTCCAGTGCTTCAAGGGGGGGTATCGCTGCAATACTCTTAGAGCGGCTCCCAGCGCTCATATTTGCCGTGGACGTACAGGGTACGTCAGCAGTCATTAACGTTTTTTGTCTGACCTTACCTGTACGTTCGCGGTCACTAAGGAGTTAAAGTTGAATTCTCCTCCTTTAAAGGAAAACTAGTGCCAAGTGCTTCCAGTTCAGCTATTTTGGCCTTAAAAGAATACTCAAAACAACTAAAATACTTCAGCAAGGTATTTTTTTCTTAATTTTACAGATTTACAGTGCAGATTTTAAAACAATTGACATTTTATGAATTAACCTGGTTACACCCCCTGGCTTTCAAGCAGACAGCATGTCCTGTTACTTCCTGATTTGGTTAGCTCACAGGAACTAAAGTCAAGAGACAGGTATTGCTAACAGCACCTGCCTTGCAAAGATTTCTCATTGAGCCGCATTTGGGAAGTCTGTGATTGGACAGCCACAGAAAGTCTGGGTGGGGTTAGGAGCTGACTTGCACATGCTGCAGACATGAGATCTGCAGCTTTTGCAGGCTGATTTTAGATAAACCCCAAATGGAAAAATGAATTACCATATATACTCAAGTATAATACAGACCAGAACCGCCGGGCTCATTACAAGCCCGGCTGTCTTGTTGGGGGCTGGCAGCAAGCTGTTACATACCTTTGTAGCCGCTCCGTGCAGCTCCCCTGTCAGCTCCCAGTGTAAATCTCGCGACACATGCGGCCGTCAGAACGTTGCCACGGTTTACTGTGGCAACGCTCAGCGCTGCACGCAAACCGCGAGATTTACACTGGGAGCTGACAGGGGAGCTGCACGGAGCTGCTACAAAGGTATGTAACAGCTTGCCGGCTTCCCCCCTGCACAGCCTATGCCACTGGACCACCAGGGATTAAGAGAGCCCCCCTCCCTGCCCAGGTAACCAGCAGGGAGGGGGGACAAAAATAAATATTAAATAATAAAATAAAAAAATTAAAATAAAAATGCTCCCCCCCCCGCCCCCACCCAGTTCACACACACTCTACATTATATACACAGTGTGTATGTGTATATAATGCAGAGTGTGTGTGTGTGTGTGTGTGTGTGATATATATATATATATATATATATATAATGTATATATAAATAATGCAGATTGTGTGTGTGCATATATAATGATTTTTTTATTTGGGCAGTGGAGTGTCGCTTTAAACTGAAATTCACTTGGAATTCCCAGAAATTCTCTCTTTAGTGAAACACCCTGATATTGTGTTAGCAGGCCTCGAGTTTCACTTGAATGTTCACTATTGTGTTAAAAGGAACACTCCGGACACGTAAACCACTTGCTGTAGCCGTACCTGTGTAGACAAGGAGCAGAGCAGACCTGTAAGTAAGTCTCACCTCTGACAGTATCTAGATGGACAGAAACATTGAGACATTAAGAAATAATGTGCTCGGACATGTCAGTCAATGTAGAATTAACAGGGCATTCGTAGAGCCTTGTTTCTACACAGTATCACTACTAGCCTGCCCACCACAGACCTGGCTGTGACACTGGGATTTCAGAAGACTCGATCAGTGATATATGGAAAAGATAATAACAGTGGGGAAGGACTGACTTGCACATGCTGCAGCCATGAGATCTGCAGCTTTTGCAGGCTGATTTTAGATAAACCCCAAATGGAAAAATGAATTACCATTTATACTCGAGTATAAGTCGAGTTTTTCAGCACTTTTTTTTGTGCTGAAAAAGCCCCACTTGACTTTTATACTCGAGTCAAGGTCTGTATTATGGCAACTTACATTGCTATAATACAGACCAGGACCGCCGGGCTCATAACAACCCTGGCTGTCTTGTTGGGGGCTGGCAGCAAGCTGTTACATACCTTTGTAGCCGCTCCGTGCAGCTCTCCTGTTAGCTCCCAGTGTAAATCTCGCGACCCTGGAATAAGAGAAAGAGATGGGGGCAAAATAACAGACGGCATGTTCAATATGGGCATCATGTGAATGAAAACCCAAAATGCTGTAAATATGTGGTGGTGAGAATATTTTTAGTCCTGGCTAGTATCCTAAGACCTGAAATTTTGACCCATATTAAATCACCTTTTCATCCAGCAGCCTGTGTGTGGATGTGAAGTTAATAAACAGTGCTAAATTCTTTCTAACATAGGACAACCCCAGGCTCCCACTTATTGCCTGGTTGATGGGTGGTTGTTTTGGGTGCTACCCATGTCCATTCCCTTTATATTCAGAATGGGACCATGGTCAATATGTACCAACCACTGATGATCTAGCAGGCCAGGGATGTTGCCTCTTCCCAGTTCCATTGCTTAATATAGCTCTTGGCACATCATACTTAAAGACAGAAACGTACAGGCGTACACAGACAAGCACACACATGCATATACACAATGAAAAAAAACAATCAAAGCTTTTCACCAAATTGGGAAGTTAAAGAATTTGCACATTTGAGGCCAATTTAGCTGAACTTGAAATCTAGCTTATTTAGCTAATTTTAAATATTTTCCGACATTTCTCAATTTTTTTTCTGCTTTTTGCACAGCTAATAGAATGTAATATTTCAACCTTACAGAGACCTCTTACGAATTTTCAATATGTGCTGCTGAAGAACAAATGTATTGGTCTGAATAAATTTGCTGTAAACATGCTATGTTTCCAGAATTGTATAAAATCCCCATACACTGTCTACGGATATTGTCGGTTTTGAAAGTACTATTGCTATCATTACAAGGGCCT